CTCCACCTCCTGGGTTCAAGTGATTCTCCTGCCTCAACTTCCCAAGTAGCTGGGACTATAGGCATGTACCACCACATCCACCTAATTTTTGTATTTTTAGGAGAGATGGGGTTTCAACATGTTGGCCAGGATGGTTGGTCTCGATCTCTTGACCTCATGTTCCACCCACCTTGGCCTCCCAAAGTGCTGGAATTACAGGATGAGCCACCACACCCGACCTACCTGGACATTTTATAAACATAGTTTGAGACAGATAGGTGCTTTCCAAAAGGGAAAGGCCAGGTTTAGGTTCCTACTAACTCTGAATTTTAATCTAAAAGCAATCTGAAGTTCTAACATACAGAAGGCAAATAACTGGGCATTTCCTCCCTTTCTTAATTTCTTCCATCTTGGATTATGCTCAGTTAAAAGAAATAGTAGGCCTGGCGCAGTGGCTCACACCTATAATTTCAGCACTTTGGGAGGCCAAGGTGGGCAGATCACTTAAGGCCAGAAGTCTGACCAGCCTTGCCAACGCAGTAAAACTCAGTCTCTACTAAAAATGCAAAAATTTTCAGTAGAGTGCGGTGGCAGGTGTCTGTACTCTCAGTTACTTGGGAGGCTGAGCCAAGAGAATCGCTTGAACCCAGGAGGTGGAGGATGCAGTGAGCCAAGACTGGACTACTGTACGCCAGCCTGCGTAATTAAGCAAGACTCCACCAAGAAAAAAAAAAGAAAAAGAAATAAATAAAAAGAAAAAAAAAGGAAAAGAAAGAAAGAGTGAGAGAGTACTAGACTTGACAGTCAGTGATCTCTCTATGACCTAGAGAGGGCAGTCCTGATTAAAAAAATATAATTAATAAAATAATATTTTACTAGGAACCAGGAAACTAATCACACTCCCCAAGCCCACTGGGGAATAGTGCTAGCATTCCTGACAGTGTCCTTACTGCTGGTATTGTCATGGGAAATTCTCAAATACTCACTTTCTAGGAACAGAACCTTTACTTCTGATTTCGTGAATTTCTACTCTTTAATCTTTTTTATGGCTTACTGTTGCCATTCCTCCTTCAATTACTGTCTTCTCTGAACAATCTTCTTACTTTTATAATACTATAGAAGGGAGGGAAGTAGAAATGCATAACCGTCATTGTATTAGTCCATTTTCATTTTGCTATAAAGAACTGCCCAAGACTGAGTAATTTATAAAGCAAAGAGGTTTAATTGATTCACAGTTCCACATGGCTGGGGAGGCCTCAGGAAACTTACAATCATGGCAGAAGGTGAAGGGGAAGCAAGGTATCTTCTTCACAAGGTAGCAGGAAGGAGAACTAATGCAAAAGGAACTACCAAACACTTATAAAACTATCAGATCTCATGAGAACTCAATATCATGAGAACAGCATGGGGGAAACTGCTGCCATGACCCAATTCCCTCCACCTGGTCTCTCCCTTGACACATGGGGATTATGGGGATTATAATTCAAGGTAAGATTTGGGTGGGGACACAAAGCCTAACCGTATCAGTCATCTTTAGGAAACATTTATTCACCAACTTCTATCTGGAAAAGACTAAGGATAACAGCTCATCGAGATCTGAAGTCCTGCCTTTAAACAGCTTACAATCTAGTTAGGAAGTCAAAAAAGCTAAAATTATACAATAAAAGCATACGTATTAAATAAATGTTTAACTCACAAATACATACTATTCCTATGTATGTATGAAGTCATGGTGGAATTGAACCTTACAGAAAAGGTACAATTTAGATTTTAAGAAAGAAGGGATGAAATCAGGTCATGGAGGATAGAAAGACATGCAGACTAGTATGAAAAGGAGAAAGTACAGAGCAGGTTTAAGAGATAGTGAATAAACTGATCTGGGCAGAAACACCTTTTCCAAAAAGAACATATGCTTGAAACGCAAGGTGAGAGGATTTCAAACAGTTCAGCTTAAGTCAAGAAATGTGAACTTGGGTTAACAGGAAGTTTTTTACACAGATTTACACACATTACCAAAAAGCATATACAGGTTAAACAATATGAGAAATTTACTTACTGAACCTAATATATTATGTATGACAAAATTAAAAGCTCACTTACTTTAGGCAAAGAGACAGTACCTGGGGGTGGGGAAATTCTGACAATTCACTAAAATTCACTAATCTTTCTGTTAAGATTTCATTCTAAGCTTCTTGAATTAGAACATCCCATGACATAATGATGATTTCTGAATACTAAGAATTTTATCATACAAGTCATTCTTGATTTTTTTCCTTCTCCATCTTGCCCAACTTTTGAATATTTCATTACTTCAACATCAGCATATAGCAAAGAAAAAAAAGAGAAAACTAAAATGAAGTTCATGGATTTCAGCAATACAGTAAGGGCATCTGATGTAAAGAACATTAAACTTCAAGTTGCAATTCCCATTATTAATAGATTGATTTCAAAGAAGTCATTTAGTCTTGTCTCAAATGTTCTCTCATACTTCCTTACTTGAAAGGTTGTTGATTCAAAAGATCATTCAAAAAGTGCTCTGAAAACTTGCCATACAAATTATATCATTAAGGGTTCAATAAGAGGAGACAGTATGGTGACTGTTAAACCAAGGATTAAAAACTGTGAATAGGCCAGACCCAGTGGCTCACCCCTATAATCCCAGCACGTTGGGAGGCCAAGAGGACTGCCTGAGGTCAGTAGTTTGTGACCAGCCTGGTGAAACTGGTGAACCATCTCTACTAAAAATACAAAAATTAGTAGGGCGCGGTGCCATGTGCCTGTAATCCCAGCTACTCCGGAGGCCAAGACAGGAGAATCACTTGAACCCACGAGGCAGAGGCTGCAGTGAGCCGAGATCATGCCACTGCACTCCAGCCTGGACAAGAATAAAACTCCGTTTCAAAACAAAAACAAAAACAAAAAACCTACCTGTGAATAATCAGTGTTTCAATCTCCCAGTGCTGCATGGAACTCTAAATTGTATTTCACTATTATTTCAGAATGTTCCTAAATACAGTCTGCACACTTCATCTGACCTGGAAAGAAAATACTCAAAGTAAGGGGAATAACCAGCATACTGTGTCCTACATAGCCAAAGGATAACTCAAAACCATTCGCAAACTCTCATGAGAGTGCTGTGTGACACTTGTAATTTAAAGCATTCTGACCTGGCACGGTGGCTCACGCCTGTAATCCCAGCACTTTGGGAGGACGAGGTGACCACCCCAGCCAACACGGTGAAAACCCACCTCTATTAAAAATACAAAAACTAGCTGGGCATGGTGGCGCAAGCCTTTAATCCCAGCTACTCAGAGACCGAGGCACAAGAATCGCTTGAACCCGGAAGACGGAGGTTGCAATGAGCGGAGATCGCACCACTGCACTCCAGCCTGGGCAATAGAGCAACACTCAGTCTCAAATAAAGCATTGTAATAATTCTGAACAAAATGAGTTTGAAATCAAACCTGAATACAAAAGCTGAGTATTTAACCACTTACAGGCGAAACTCATAAATACAGAGAATTCTGAATTCAGGTAACTGTACGATCGATACATTTGTTTTAGTTTAATGTCAGACTTGTTTACAAAGATGTTGCTTGGTAACAGAAGCACTACTTTAACAACCTACTCCGTTTTAGAGCTGCTCAAAGTCTGAACAGATTATGAACTATACATCATATACAAGAAATTCAGGCAAGTCTCTTTATCCTAGACATCTGTGAGATTTGAAAGAGCTTCCTTATTACAACTAAAGTAATCAAAGACTTTAAAAATATTTAGCAGTGGATATTTTTAAGAGCAAAATGCCCATTGATTACAGTCAAAAGTTGGACACTAAAGATTTACCAAAGTATTCAAGCCCGGCCTCCGCTAACATATTTTAGGCGTTATCTAAGTCATGACAGCTGACATCACTATTCACTCAAATTGTCTTCAAAGCCAAGAAAAATGATAGCATAGCTTTTTCATCGTAAATTAAGCTGGAGGTACTTAAACATTTGGCCATTTACTAAACTGGCTACACAACCACCACGCCAGAGTGCATCCTAAAGCTCCATGAAGAGTTTCACGTGCATCCAGTTGGCTTCGGAGCAAGTGTCTGCCTACTTTTCTGACACGAATTTCCACTACTTTACGAGGAAAATTAAAAATGGATTCAAGGGTAGTTTGTGGAGGGACAAAATGAGTATGCAAAAAAAACAAGACGCCGTCGCCAGAAAGGTTACACATCAGACGTTCGCACGCTCCTCGCAACGCGCACATGGAAAACTTACGTGACCGGAGTTCTGGCCGCGCTCGCCCCCAAAGACACCTCCACAGCTCCAACCACCGGCACCCACTCAACTTTGCTCACGGAGGCATTGGGACAAGGGTTATGGTCCCACAGCGGGGTGTCGGCCCAGCCCGCCACGCCTCGCTCTTCACTTTTAAGCGCAAGCTGAAGAGGAGGAAGAGGAGGAGGAGGGCCGAGCGGACCCCTAGGGCTCCAGTCCCTAAGGAAATGTGAAGTATCCCAAGAGGGGTCCGAGGGCGGCGGCGGCGGCGGCGAAAAGCGCCGCACCTCAGGCGTGCGGAGCCACCTCCCGCGCTGACGTCCGGCAGAGAAGCCGCCGCATCGCACCGCCCCTCCACCCTGGAGGAGCGGGCTCTGTTGCTGGGCCCGGCGGCGCGCAAAGCAGGAAGTTCCGCCCCGACGCCGACGTCACCCACGCCAAGGACGCCGGTTGCTGCTGGAGCCGTTAGAGGGAGGAGACAAACGAACCCAGGCGGGAGCGGCCATTGGCTGTAGCGGCAGCGCGGGGACCCGGGCTGCGCTCCCGTAGGCGTTCCTGGAGGGCCCTGGGGTGGACGCAGAGATTCTCCGAGCCCCAGAGAACGGAAAATCTAGCGCCGGGGACTTGCCTCCGGGAGTCCAAGTGACGCGTGTCGTTGGAGCACAAAGCCGGTCTCCTTAGCCTCTCTCCGACGTAGCATCTCCAGGGATTTTCCTCCTTTTGGTGCCTCTCCTTACCTCTTCCCGCGCTGTTTGAGGGCGTCGATGGTAGTCCTGCCGCCACCTCTCCCCCTCCGCCTTCCAGCCTGCCATCGTGCCCGTGTGTGCAGATGTGCGCTCCCAAAATCGCCTGCCCGTCATATCTGCCTTGGGCATCACCCCATGAGTAGGGAGTCGGCTTAGCTGGCCACGAGGGAAACTCAGGTCTGGCCCACCCCCCGGGAAAGAGCCTCTCCTCGCCTTCGCACCTCCTGCTCCAAGACTCCTCTCCTGGTTATCCCAAATTCAGGGTCCACCTGGGGTGACACGGGAAACTACTGGTCTTCAGGCTATAAACGAGTTGGAAGATGAGGTGCTCGCTTTTGAGAACTTCCATGATCATCCAAAGGCTGAAACAAAGTAGGTCAGCCTTTCAAATAGTTGTTGGAAGAAACAGACACCTTCCCTTCCCCAGCGTTTGTTTAGTGCCTTGGTTGGGCTTTGATTCTCACTACTTTGTGAAGCACAGCCTATTTTTACCCCTAAGGTTATGATTTTCAGGCTCTAGTGATTACTAGAAAGGCAACTGAGAGGTGATTTTTCTTGGTGAAATGAGGGAAAATGGGCCATTAGGACCGTGTCTCTTCAAAGAAGAGGAGGGGAAAACAGGACAATGAGTTGGTAATGGAGTGTTGCTGGATGGATTACATAGAGGAGACATGGGAAATAGAGAATCCAGAAATTCCCGTGTATATATGAGTGTTCAGTGTAATAATAGCTCACATTTGCTGAGTATTTGTGTGTCAAGTACTGGAGTACTTTTTCAGGTCATCTTATTTAATTTTCACATCTCTGTAAGGTAAGTACAGTTGTTATCTCCATTTTACAGAGTTGCCCAAAACCATTACTTTTAAACATTGGACAACTGCAGAAATTTCAGTGGTAACCAGTAACTATACATTACAAATCATTGGTCAGTGGGAAAAAGATTCTTCGGGAAATGGCCTGGCCACTGAGGAGGAGCTTTACATCCATCTCATTTATCAAATACTAGATGAATAAAAGACTTAAAAGGTAAAAAATGAAACCATAAAAAGAGAAGACAATTAATGTGAGTATATATACAATCTTGAGATAAGAAAGGCCTTTGATTATATTCATTTACCTATAGTTAGACAAGCTAACCTCCCACTTGGACATCATACTTTTGACTCCACAAATTGGACTGAGTATCCACTCTATGTGTTCTCTGTGTGCCTGTCATGGTATTTGTCACAATACACACTTTAATTCCTTCTGTGCCAATAAATTGTTTGCTCCTGCCATGCATACACACATGGACATAGATCCTTTTTCTTACTATATGTTACACATTGCTTTTGATTCATCGTTTTTCATCTATACTTGTGTACAGAAGTTTTTAACATATTCAAAATGCTAATGAAATCACATAGATATTAAAGGGATACTTGGAACAACTTTATGCCAATAAATTCAATAACTTAAGCAAAATGAACAAATTCCTAAAGAAAAATACAAATACCAAAAGTGACACAAGAAGGAAAAGAAAATCTAAATATCTATTAAAGAAATTGAATTTATAAGCAAAACACTTTCTACAAAGAAAACTCCAGGCAGATGACTGTACCAGTGAAGTTTATCAGACATTTAAGGGAGACAAAGTACTAATCTATTTCAGAAAAGTAGAACAGGGAGAAATCCCTCTATACTCATTTTATGAGACAAGCATAATCATGCCAAATATTTTTCTATACTCATTTTATGAGACAAGCATAATCATGCCAAATTTTTTTCCTGTTACCAAAATTTGATATTTTACAAGAAAATTATAGACTACTAGTCCTCATGAATATAGATATAAAAATTCTTAAAGTATTAGCAGATTGAAACTTGCAATATAGAGGATAAGATACCATGACCAAGGAGAGTGAAGTTAACATTGAAAAATCAGTGTAATTACATTAACAGGACGAAAGAAAAAATTGTCTCAATAAATGCAGAAAAAACATTTGACAAAATTCAAAATTCATTAATGTTAAAATTTCTTAATAAATTAGGCATAGAAAGAATGTATTTCAACCTAATAAAGACTGTTTGTGACAAAAAAAAAAAAAAAAAAAAAAAAAAAAAAAAAAAAAAAAAAAAAAAAAAAAAAAAAAAAAAAAAAACTCTAAGCAACCTAGGGAATTTCCTCAGTGATTACCTTTGAAAAACTTAGTGGTGAAATATTAAAATTTTTTTCTCCTAAGAGCAGGAACAACAAATATAAGACAATACTTTTCTGCTCTCACTGCTTCTGTTTACGATATTGGAAGCCCTAATCAATGCAATAAAGCAATAAGAAAAAACATAAAGATTGGGAAGACTCCAATATCCTGATTTCAGAACTTCCTGTGAAGCTATAGTACTCAAGATAGTACTGTACTCATATAAAGATAGGAGTACAGATCAATGGAATATAATTGAGTCCAGAAATAAAGCCTTATATTTATTGTCATTTGACTTACAGCAAACCCCAGGACAACTCAATGGGAGAAAGAGAAGTCTTTTCAACAAATGGAACTGGGAAAACTGGATAGCCACATGAGGAAAAAAGAAATTGGAACTCTGCGTCACACCATTTATGGATATTAAGATGAACCAAAGATCCAAACACGAGCTAAAATTATAAAACTTTTAGAAAAAATAAATTCTTATGACCTTGAATTAGGCAGTGGCTTCTTTGCTGTGACAAAAAGCCCAACCAAGGGAAAAAATGAATGCATTAAAATTCATCAAAATCAAAACCTTTATGCTTCAGGCTGGGCACCATGGCTCATGCCTGTAATCCCAGCACTTTGGGAGGCCGAAGCAGGCAGATCACCTCAGGTCAGGAGTGCAAAACAGCCTGAACCCTGTCTCTACTAAAAATACAAAACTTAGCTCAGCATAATGGCACGCACCTGTAATCCCAGCTACTCAAGAGGCTGAAGCAGGAGAATCACTTGAACCCAGGAGGTGGAAGTTGCAGTGAGCTAAGATCATGCCACTGTACTCCAGCCTGGATGACAAAGCAAGACTCTACCTCTTTAAAAACAGAAAACAAAACTTATGCTTCAAAGAACAATATCAAGAAAGTGAAAGGACAACCCACAGAATGAGAGAAAATATTTTTAAAATCCAGTATCTGGTAAGGGTGCACGATTCAGAATATAAAGAACTGATACTTCAGCAATAAAAAGGCAATCCAGTTTAAAAATGGACAAAGGATTTGAATAAACATTTCTCCAGAGAAGATGTACAAATGCCCATAAACACATGAAAATATGCTCAATGTAATTAGTCATTAGGAAAATACAAATTAAAAGCAGGTGATACCACTTCACTAGGATGGCTGTAATTTTTTAAAAAAAAATAGACAAGAACAAGTGTTAGGACATGGAGAAATTGGAACCCTCATACTCTGGTGATGAGAATGTAAAATGTTGCCACTACTTTGGGAATAGTTTGGCAGTTCAAGAGGTTAAACGTAAGTTTACCATATGACCCAGCAATTCCACTCTTAGGTATATACCTATGTAAATTGAAAAATATGTTCAATCTCAAAAACTTGTACACAAATGTTTATAACATTATTCATAATAATCAAAAATGTTACACAAATATTCATAACATTCATAATAACCAAAAAGTAAAAACACAAATGCCCATCGACTGGTGAATGAATAAACAAATATGGTGTTTCCATACAATGGAATACTATTCAGTTATTAAAAGGAATGAAGTACTGATTCATGCTACAAATTGAAACTTAAACACATTATATGCTAAGTAAAAGCCACATATAATTCCATTTATATGAAATATCAATAATGGGCAAATCCATAGGGAAAGAAAATAGATTAATAGTCCAGGGCTGGAGACTGGGACAGTGGGGATTGACTGCTAATAAGTATGGAGTTTATATTTGGAATGATGAAACTATCCTGAAGTTAAATAGTAGTGATGGTTGTACAACTTTGTGAATATGCTAAAAATCACCAAATTATATGCCTTAAAAGTGAGTTTTATGGTACGTAAATTAAATCTCAATTTTTAAAATGGGAATAAGTACAGTAGTTCCTCCTTATCTGCTGGGGATACATTCCAGGACCCCCAGTGGAAACCTAAAACAATAGATGGATAGTATCAAACCCTATATACACTTTATTTTTTTTTCCTACCTACACATACCTAAGATAAAGCTTAATTTATAAATTAGGCACAGTAAGAAATTAACAACAATAATAAAATAGAACAATTATAACAATATAATAAAAGGTATGTGACTGGTCTCCCAAGATACTGTACTATACTCTTCTTGTAGTGATGTGAGATGATAAAATAAGTGACAAGAGGAAGTGAGGTGAATGAGGTAGTGAATCATGATGGGATTCAGCCTTTTCTTTGGTTTTCTCCTTTGGCCAGTGACAAGTCAAAGGCAGGTACGGCTTAGGTCTCACTAAACAGGTCAGTGGGGAAAGGCTTCCCCTCCCAATAAAAAGATATTAGTTTGGCTGAGTGCAGTGGTTCATGTCTGTAATCCCAGCACTTTGGGAGGCTGAGGCAGGTGGATCACGAGGTCAAGAGTTTGAGATCAGCCTGACCAACATGGTGAAGCCTCGTCTCTACTAAAAATACAAAAATTAGCCAGGTATGGTGTTGAGTGCCTGTAAT